GTTACGACATCCATCTTCAATTTTTCATCTGGAGTCGAATTACTCAAGGTCACCACCAGAGTATCTCAGCTTTTTGGCAGCAAGCTCAACAGCAGCAAAGCCTACATTTCATCATCAATTTTCATCTCAGCTTTTGACAACTGATTCACAATATCTTTGTAGGTGTTGAGGTGTTCAATCATGCTCATGTCGTCCTTGTATTCTAACTTCACAAGTCGGTGAACCAGGTGTGCTTTGTTCCTAGGAGTCTTCTTCTGAATCATGAACTCCAACTTCGTCCACAACTCGTACGCGTTCGTGAACTCGGACACGTGCTCAAAGAGGCTTTTATCTATATATTTTCTGATTGTAGCTACCGCCTTACGACTCTGAATCTCCCACTCCTTATCAGTTTTGTCTGACAGTCTCTCATCAAGGATAATGGGCTCATATAAATCTTTGCAGTAGAGATGATCTTCCATCATCGGTCTCCAATACGTGAAATTGTCTGCGGTCAGCTTGAACATATCTCCATCATGGGTTATGCCACTGGTCTCCATCTCGTCTCCCTCAGAACCCATCGAACTCGGGCTCTGATACCACTGTTGGAAACTCGGTTCCCTCAAGTCGGCTAAGAAGCCTTTTGCGAAAGTCAGTCAACGAGATCCTGGATCTCAGATCTCGGCAATCTTACCTCGGCCTGAACTTCACCAGGTCGGGCAGCGCAGCGGAAAACAAAAAACACAAATAGGAGAGAGATAGAGAGAGAGAAGAACATAAACAGATTTTAACGTGGGAAAACATTCTCCAATGAAGAAGTAAAGACCCACGGGACCTAGTCCAGATTAAACGTCCACTATGAAAATAATGGATACAATGAATCAAAATACACCAATGTGATGGTTAACTCAACCTCTCCAATAATGGTGATAATCAAACTACCCTAGAGATGTTTCACTCAAACTCTCTCTAGAGATTTTTCAAATACAAAGCTTAAAGTTTTGCTCTCAAATATCTCAAATAATTTTCTCTCAAATTTTTTTCTCTCTCTAACCTAGCCTCTTCCCACAACTAATGAATATACATAGGAGGTGAGATCTAGGGTTTAAGGTTTAGGATTTTTGGGAAACCCCTTAATGGGCTTGGGTTAGCATTGAAGGAGGAAGTTCAATAATTGGTATGTATAAAAATCATTTAATAATGTATTTATGTAGTATTTTAAAAGAGCTGGACTTTTAACGTGGCAAAAATTCCGTACTAGCGTAAATTTTCAAAAGAATCTCCGCGCTGAGACACATCTGTAAAGAATGACGAGAGTAAAGCAGTCAAACACGTAGGTTTGACTGGCGGGACTGGACTCGCCACATACAACGACGTGATCAGGAGCCACGTAGGATGTCTGCATCTCTCCCGCCACTTGGTCTGACTCATTTGAGTCCCGCCATATGAGTTGGCGAGACACACTAGCCACATAGGATGTCTGCATCTCTCCCGTCAATAGGTCTGACTCATTTGAGTCCCGCCATATGAGTTGGCGAGACACACTGTCATCCGCCACGTGCCTTGACGTGTCTCACTCATTTGCACCTTATCCCTGCGCACCTTCAAACCGTCTTCTTCTCTCCTCTCTTACCCGGTTCCTCCATTTTCGTAGCTCGGTTGTGGAGCAATTGTGGGAAACAAATTTTCGTTGGCCAAATTTTCTTCTCCCGTCCGTTGGCACCTGAGCTGAAGCAAAGTGTGCACGTTCTCATTTTTTCCCCTTCCCCGTTTAGTACTCTCTGGACCACAGGTACTTGATTCTTTTATATCTGTGTAGTATTATTTTTTAGGGGTTAAGGTGTTGTGTATCTGCATTATTTATAGGTGGATGTAGTTTGTTTTTTTTAAGGGACCACAGGTTTGGTGGTTTTTTTTTGTGTATCTGCATTATTCCATTTGTGTATCTGCATGTTCTCATATTAATTTTTTTGCATGTGTTTTTTAATTAATGAATGTTGCATGTGGTGTATTCATTTGGAGAGATATATGTGTTTTGAAATTGTTTTGATAATTAAAGTGATTATATAAAAAATTAATCATACAAGACGATACAAGACGTTCAATGGCTAACCTGATGATGATGGAATAACCGGATTATTGGACGTAGGGATAACAGTCTCCTGTGATATGGGATTATCATGATGTTCATCATCACCTCCATCACTATCATTCTGATCATGGTCATTTTCCAGTAGAGTGTCTTCATCTTCCTCCTCCTCTTCATTGTCAGGTTCAACATCTACCATATAGTCGCTTTCATCTCCACTTGCAATAGTTGATTGTGTGGGCTGGGGTTCCGATGATGACGGCATTTGTGTCTGACTGTTAAGGTCCAACCCACGTGTCGGTATTGACATGTCGTCTGATGTCTCAATATCGACATATAACTCAACAAATTGAGATGTAGTAGAGTTTTGGACAAATGTTCCAAGAAAAATGTCAATGTCCTCATCATCAGTTATTTCTAAACCTGCATATTTTCGATTACCACATGGGACTCGACCCGTGACTGAAGAAATTACCTGATTTTGTTGCAACTTCAACTTCTGACGAATCTTCTGAAGTAGATCTTCAATGGACAAGCCTCGGACAATATACATTGCTCTTTTTTCCCCTTCGAATCTCAACCCGCCTACACTGTTAATTTTAGAACCATTATAATATACAAAAGACCGATATTGTTCCATTGTACTGTGTATTTATGCAAATAACACAAAAGGAGATCTGATGAAAGTAGAGATTAAAAAAAAGTAAATACAAACATTAAATACGCATTACAGCAACTCATACAAAAAAAATTACGACATTACAGCAAGGTCATACAACAAAATTTTAACACTACAAGCAAAGCAACTGATACAAACAAAATTACTAGAAGTCAAGAACCCGTCAGTCAAAATCATATACAAAAATAGCAAGCATCCCGAACTTTCAAAATGTCCCATACTAAGTAACACCGGAAGACCCTATATATAACCAGGCAAATATTTCCGTAAGTGTCAGTGGCGAGATTAATTTTGTAGTGTACGGGACGCTACCCCACGAGTATCGCGTGGGGGGATGCAAAAGGACAACGTAAACCGTCAACCAAGGTGGCGGGAGTAGGTATGTGGCTGGAACACGTCACATTACCTGGCGGAGCTTTTGTACACGTGGCATAGTCTCGCCAACTGATATGGCGGGACTCAAATAAGTCAGGGCAGCTGGCGGGATTCATGCAGACAATCCTATGTGGCTGCTGATCACGTCGTTGTATGTGGCGGGACTGGTCACGCCAGTCAACCCTACGTGTTTGACTGCTCTACTCTCGTCATTCTTTACAGATGTGTCTCAGCGCGGAGATTCTTTTGAAAATTAACACTAGTACGGAATTTTTGCCCTTTTAACGTAGTTGATATGATAATCAAACTTATTTTATAGTTTGCCAATTATGCATGATTGGATGAAAGTGCAAAAAATTTCATCTAACTGCACATCATCACAATCAATTTCTACACTACTTTTTTCAATCTAAGTGATCACAAGATATTTACACGTAATTAAATAACGATTTCCATTTTTTTATTAATTGTGCTAATATAATATACTAATAATGTAATTGATATTTGATAATAAAAAAACAACGTATGAAAATAAGAGTAATAACGTATACAAATAACATTGCAATTGCATGACCATATATAAGTCAGTAATTTCTTACAAAAAGTTCGTATTTTAAAAAAGTGTTCATAAAAGTTTTCTTTTTTCTTCTTTTTTCTACCGAGTTCCTAATCTAAAGCATTCCTGCATGATCCAACCTATCAACCTTGGAAATTGTACAAACATAGTCATGCTATAGGTAAGATATTTGGGTCATGCATAAGGAGTGAAAGTGAATGAAATGGTACCCATAGTCCCACTTCAAGCCCATCATGTGTTCGCCCATACTTTTTTTCATTTGGGTCAACATCATAAAAGGCCTAGCTCAAAGAACATCTTCTGCAAATCTAGTAAGTTTGGCATGTATAAACTTTCCAAAGGAAAACGACGCATAACACATTCACTCACATCAAATGGGCACAATGCCAATCATTTTCCATAACCATGACTGCATTTGTTAATATCCAATTCATTATGAAATCATCAATGAAAACACTAACTACCCAAAACTAAAGTTACTAATATTTTAAAACAAATTACATTAAGGGGAGGATAATATTTACAAAATTTTTGTTTTACAAATTACATTATGTACTTTTAGAAATACACTAGATTATACTATGCACTTCTGAAAATATATAATGTAATTTATAAAAATTTATAAAAAAAGAATTGTAAATAAATCCTTCCTTTTACAATAATATACTATTATGAATATGTTTAGGGTCTACGTGTTGACCCAAAAGCTATTGATATAGTGATAACTCAGTTATATCATGAGCTATCCAAAGGCAATGAATTCGAATCCTAATGTCGTAATATTTCTGAATGAGAAAATTTTGGTACTAATCTTGCACTAATCAACTCTTGTTCAAAATGAAATTATAGATTATATATTTTCGAAAATGATAATTATAGTTTTTTTTTCTCTTTCTCCTTACAAAACATATCAATATATTGTGTTTTGATTGGTTGAATGTAGATATTACGGTGATATATTAAAAATCTCATTCCCGAAGTGGATGAAAAGCTATAAAATCCGAAATCGGATTAGTTGGATGATGAGTATCTAAAAAAAAAATTGGCATGAAAACAAATTTTGGACTAATCAACTGTATCCACGAAAGCAAACAACATGAAACCTCAAACTTACACGTAAGTTGTCGATGCACGTGGCTTCACCCCAAACCGCCACAACACCACTTTCCATCATATTTCACAGATCTCAACCCTTTCTTTTTCCCTTTGCATAACACACACACAAAAAAGTGAACAAAAACCACTTTCACTTCACATTCCCAATAAAGCCGAAACCCTAAAACCAATACACACAAAACACAATGACAACTTCATTGGCCTTTGCTCAATTCTACGACTCATGGTTCGACCACTTGCACCACCTCGTGCAGCAGCTTGCCTCCTTCTCCGCCACCTCCGCCTCCGGTGGACCGCCCCTCGTGGCGGAGGAAAACGACGAGCGGATCCACCTGATCGACAAGGTGATGTCACACCACGAAGACTACTACCGAGCCAAGTCACTGGCGGCGGAGAAGGACCCACTGAACGTGTTCGTTTCGCCGTGGGCCACCACATTGGAACGGTCCCTTCATTGGATCACCGGGTGGCGCCCCACCACCGCCTTCCACCTTATCTATACGGAGTCCTCCGTCCTCTTTGAGTCACGCATCGTCGATATCCTCCGCGGCATCCGCACCGGCGATCTTGGTGATCTTTCTCCAACTCAGTTCCGCCGAGTCAGCGAGTTACAATGTGACACTGTAATATTCCTTCACTCTATATATGCTTTAACAATTCGCATGAAAATCTTTATTTTATTTTATTTTATATATATACTGACTTTAATTATCTCTTTGAATTAGCTACGAGATTAATTTTAAATGGGTTTAGTCACATACACATATAAAACGTAAGTGTGAATCAAACTTAGATTTTTTTCTTACTTACTCAGCTTGTGTTGTCAAATTAGGTAAAATCTTCATTACAAAAAAAAAAAAAAAAATTTAGGTAAAATCTTTATTTTTTTGAGATCATTGTTTGAATCCGTAAAAAATAAGGGATAATAGAGCATAAAGTTTTGATTCATCAAATGGTTAGGTAGGGGACAAAAATCTAATATTATACAAATTTCAAAAGTTTTAGTGCTACTAGCTAGCTTAGTTTACAAAATCACTGGCCGCATAAAAAAAGTCTAAAAATCTTTATCCCTTCTTCATCGTATCAGAGTTTCAATACCATGCATGTAATAAAATAATGTACAACACAAATGTTATTTATGTTATTTTATCCTTAAATGTCATAAGATATATTTCTTACATCTCATAAAAAACAAAAAAAAATTTGGTAAATAAAACAAATTTTATTATAATAGATTTTTACATTATTTTATTCTTGAAATATTTAATTATGAGATATCATAAAATATTTAAATATGTTTTGATTGGCCATCAAAACACGTGTTTCGACTGTTTCTTAATATACATTTCACGCAACCTATATAAGTTATAAAATATTCAAGTTTTTGTCTCGGTCTAAATCGAGTGTCCCAGCTTTAATTTAATTCTGTCCTGTCTGTTCGAATCATTCGAATGGACATATATTTGAGGTTTTTAATCTTAATTTATGCTTCTTTTTTCTTATGTTGTTAACAAAAAAGTGAGCATGAATTTAACTTCTGTATGACACTTTATTTTATGTACAAATGGCACAACAATTTGCTAAAGAAGTTTTCCTTTACGTGGATGAGACGAAATGAGAAGGATAAGTTAATATAATCAAATTTGATCTTCCACCAAATGTTCATTTACACAATGTTAAATAAACTGCGTGCTTGTAAGAATAGTTTAAAGAAGACCATTAGTAAACATTGGGTGAAATATTTAATTAATAATTATCATCAGTGATTTTTTTATTTTTTTTAACACAAAGTGAATTTTTTTTTTCTATTGTATTTATTTCCCAATGTTTTTTATTTTGAGAAAAAAAAAAAAGGTGAAAGAAGAGAATGCAATAACGGAGGAGCTATCGGAGTGGCAAGACAGTGCTTGCGACATGATGGGCCCACGCGCCGATATCAACGAGAAGATCGGACGGCTGGTAAGCATTATAAGGAAAGCTGATGATCTACGGCTCAGAACGTTGAGGAGCGTGGTGGGGTTGCTGTCGCCGCAGCAGGCTATCGAGTTCTTGATCGCCTCAGCAGAGTTGCTCGTTGGGATCCGCGGTTGGGGATTGAATCATGACCGTCCACGTCGCAGATAATGATGGAAGCTGAAATAATTTTGAAGTTAAAATGATTGTGTATTTGTTATATTATTACTTGTCTACAGAACTTTGCATTATCATATTTCAACTCAATTTATTGCCAAAACAAAAGAGATTCCTTTTTATTCCTCTTTTTTTATATTGCAAAAATTTACACTTTTTCAATTTATATTTCATTTTTGATTTATTTTTTTTTACAACTAATGGTGGTAAATTTGTAGTTTGATTTTTGCATATTTATGTTGTTTAGTTAAAGGCTGTAAGCACCAAGGTTAAGAAATACCGATTGGAATAATATAATAGTGATGAGCAGAATCACATGCAAGCAAAGAAGCAAAAAACAGATTGAAATTTTTATTTCATTACTTGTCAAATTAAGCTAAAGCCATTTAAGGTGCAATAAGTAAGGATGCATTTCATGGAAAACTAGGAAAAGGCGTTGAACAAGGTAAGCTTTTTTTGGGTCATTGAGACATAAGAACGTCGTGCGTGTCTCTACGACAAGCTCATGCAACATGCACGGTGACACTTTGCACAATGACATGTCTTCCGGCACTGGCAGGAGGAGCTGTTGACCAGTACTAGCAAATATCATCGCTTGTAGACCTTCTTTTTCAATATATATAAGATGGGAAAAAGACTTCTCATGTTGCATTAGAAGTCTCATCTCTTACCATTTTCACTTTGATGTCTATGTCAATCACTTTTTTATTTTTTTATTTTTCTTTAAGGTAGGCTCCACCCTTTTCTTTCTATAGAAAAACTTAAATTTCTCGTGCAACATGAGAAATTACAAGCCCATATAAGATTTGATTTTCTCATAAGAAATAAGACACTTGTGTGATTGTCTATATCTATTAAAAATATATATTAAACTCCCAAGGGTAGCTCAGTTGGCAGCTGAGCTTCCAAGGGATTGCTTGGTGGAGGGATCAAACCCTGCCTCAAGCAGTTTCTTGGAAAATCTTTGGGGGCCAGAGGATAAGCCAAAAAATCTTCGGTTGGGGGATTAGTCTCGTCCTTTCTCCGGTTGCGAAGCTTAGTACACTCACTGTTACAATGAGGGGCTAGCCCAAACGGGCCGTACCCCGAGGGCATGGTACCCGGAGAAGGTTGAATGGGGATACCTCCTGGCAATGTACCAAAATATATATATATATATATATATTATACGAAAATCAAAGGATCACTCGAAGAAGAAAATAACTCTTTTACAATATAAGAAAATATTTTTCACACATATATATATGTGTGTGTGGGGGGGGATAGGATCAACTTATTCCGATATAAGAATAATAAGCTTTATATTAATCTTAAATGTTGAAATTTGTGTATTTAACGGTTATGATTTTTGAAAATTAATTAATTAATTAATTAGTGTGATCTAATAAACCACAACTGTTAGATTCATGAAAAACAACGATTAAGATTTAGTGTAAGACTTATTATTCTTACATCGGTGTAAATTGATCATGCCCATAGGTTAAAGCATTTAATGTGTGAAATCATAACCATACAAAAAGTGGAACAATAATTGTGGGGAAGCATAACCTTATACATGTCATTGTTGCACATATAACAACTTTAAATATAATTTTAATATATATATATGTGTGGGGTTTACATTTCTGCAGCTGCTGTACGTGCAGCAATCAAATACCTGTCATATATATACTTGAAAGCATTAAATGCAGTGAATCATAACCATAAAAAGGATGAAAGCATTAAATGTGGGGAATCATAACTATACACCTGTCGTTGTTGTACATAAAGTGGCTGCAGAAATAATTTTACTTATATATATATATGTGTGAGGTAGGAGGATCCTTTGACACCTCATTTGAGAGTCGTTAGATCAAAAAAAGATTAATGACTCTGATTTGTAAGCATATGGCACCATTGATCTTTTATGATCTAACAGCTCTAGAGGTGTCAAATTTCAAATTTGACACTCATGTCAAAGGATCATATCTCTCTATCTCTCTGTGTATATATATATATATATATATATATGAGGTAGGATCTTTTGACACTGGTGTTAAATTTGAATTTTGACACCTCATCTGAGAGTCATTAGATAAAAAAAAATCAACGACTTTGTAAGCATATGACACCATTGATCTTTTTTTATCTAATGACTCTCAGATGAGGTGTCAAAATTCAAATTTGACACAGGTGTCAAAGGATTCTCCCTCTATATTTATAGAGAGAGAGGCAGGATCCTTTGACACTGGTGTCAAATTTGAAGTTTCACACCTCATCTGAGAGCTGTTAGATCAAAAAAGATCAACGACTTTGATTTGTGAGCATGTGACACCATTGATCTTTTTTATCTAACGACTCTCAGATGAAGTGTCAAACTTTAAATTTTGACACCGGTATTAAAAGATTCTGCCTCATATATATATATATATATATATATATACATTAGTCCAGGATACGCATGCAGATCCTGGGTTTTTTTTAAAAAACAAATCACGTGGGGCCCACACTTTTTTTGTATCCTGGACTAATGTGTATATATATATATATATGAGCCTATCGTTTCTCAAGCTGCTTGAGGTAATGTTATCTCCGGCTACTAAATCATAACCGTACAAAGATGGATCAACGGTGATAAAGGAAGAGAGAGAAAAAGGAAATCATAACCATTCAACGGTAAATCAATTATTATAAGGAAATAAATAAACAAAACGACGTAATTTTGAGGTGGCCGGAGATAAACTTATTTCAAGCAGCTTGAGAAATGTTTTTCCCTATATATATATATATATATATGAGGCAGGATCCTTTGACACCGGTGTCAAAGAAAAAGTTTGACACCTCATCTGGGAACCGTTAGATTAAAAAAAATCAACGCTTCTGATTTGTAAACATGTGACACCATTGATTTTTTTTAATCTAACGGTTCCCAGATGATGTGTCAAACTTTTTCTTTGACACCGGTGTCAAAGGATCCTGCCTATATATATATATATATATATATATATATATATATATATATATATATATATATTACATCGCACAAGTGTAAAAATTAATGTTATAACAACAGTCTTTTAACTATTAGGTCTTTTAAAACTTTCCAAGCTTAGTGCTTTAGCCTGAATAGCTTGATAAAAAATATAAAGGTCCATCTAAATTAATCACGAATAATTATAACGACGTGAGTTGGGCCCCAAGATTAAAATATCAATTTTATAAAAATTATTGCATTCAACGATTTTAAGTTTGTTGAAATGACATTTTAATATAAGACATATGTCTACTTTAATTTATAATTATTTTAAAATCTTTTAATGTAAATTATTTATTCTAAAATTAGTTAATCAAATAAATTCTTTAAATTTAATATTTTTAAACTATAATTGTATTAATTAAAAAAGAAAAAAAAATGTTGATCAATGAATATGTGCTCATTGTGAACATGTGATTAAACTATAATATCAATTTGTTCACCTACAAAAATATTTATCCCAACCCTGAGTGTTAAGCTCAAGTGACAATATAAAACTCGGTACGGCTAAGGTGTCAAAGGAGTAGGGATTCAAATCTCTTGAAATGAATTTTGAGAAACTAAATTTTTTTAATTTTTAATTTTCAGAAATTATCGTAAATCGAATGTTTTCATCATATTTTTGAAAATTAAGATTTTCAGACAAAAAAAAAATTTCTCCTCTACCAAACGCTCTCTTAGTGTCAGAGCTAGATAATTATCACGTCACTTAGCTTAAGATTAGTCTTATATTGTGTGAATTTTTTTTCGCGACTTGTTAGAATATTGGGAGATCTAACTCGCCCAACAGAATAATCAGGATTATGGAATCCAGACAAAAAATAATAATAATGCTTAACCCGATCTTGTGTGCTTATGCCACATTCGACCTAAACCTTAGCGGGCTTATCCAAATGGGCCGGACCACTCCGACTTGGATCTTAATAACTCTGTTTCAATTGTTTGCGTAATTGGGCTGGCTGCAAATCACAAACTTAGGCTTGGCTTCAAAGTGATGACATTGACCATTGGGCTACAATCCCATAAAGGAGTGAGCCTTCAACTAACACTAATGATCCAATTCCTAACAGACCAATACCATGGTTACAAGTTACTCCCTAAGTCCCTAATCACTGCTACCGATTTTTTTTTTTTTTTTTTTTGTGAACATAACTACTGCTACCGTTATTCCACAACATGGTAACTGTAACAGAAACACTAGACTATTTGGATCAAAATTCTTAGCAAAACTTCTTTATATTTCTTTCTTTCCGTGTATATATTTTGGGTTCGCTTTTTCTACGGTCAATGTAAATAATTTATCTACATTGAGCTCAAAACGACGTTGTTTTGAGCCGAAAATCAAGGTATTTTTGTAATTATAATTTATTTAAGGGTTATAATAGTCTTTTTATTATAATTTTTTAACTTTTCAACCCAAAACGACATCGTTTTGAGAGCGAATGTAGATAACTTATCTACATTCACTTTAATCTACATTTACTTTAAAAACATTAAAGTCATATTTTTTTTGAGAAAAGTGTGTATCATTTTAAAGGATGTAAAATTATGTCATTTTAAATTAGAGAAAGAGATAGATAAAGGAAGAGAGAGTGGACAAAAATATATAAATATGTGGGCCCCCTTCTTTGTGAGAGTAAAATAACATAAATTGTCATTTAAAAGGACAAACATTTTTTTCTATATTTTTTTATCCCTTAAAACCCTTTTCTTCTTGCAGTTTTGACCAATAATTTTGTAATAAATCGAAAATGTTTATTTCAACTTAATCAATCTAACATATTTTGTAAATAATATTCAACATAAGCAATCTTCTATTCATTATAGTAAGTACCCTGTGTAACATTGAATGCTTATGAATATATATATTTACTAATTTTTGTTGTTGCAATATATTTACTATTTTGATTTATAGGATAATAATTTCTTAAATTTTATTTATTATAATTCTTATATAATAATGGTAATAATATAAGTTGTG